ATCAAGGAATCCCCTGACTGCCCACGGCGTGATTTTGTCGCATCATTATCGTGACCGACATCACCATAGGACGGTTCCATATGACGGTCGACGGCGGATTTATCTGCTAACGATTCCTGAGTGACTCTGGCCTTTCCTACTATTTCGCTTTCAGATCGCACGATACGCTCGATTATGTCGATCTATTACAGATTATTAGGAAGAATATTGTGAAACCACGATTGATTCGGACATTTATCTTATTTTATCTGAGTTGAGATTTGTCGAACGAAAAAGATCCATTGGATTCGCATCACTTTGATTTTGTTGCTATACGTGTATGCTATTCGTAGCAAAATTGCTATCACTATCTTCACAATGCAAATGGATTTAGAAAATTGTGCTTTTGTATTTTCTAATAGCATCTATTATAGAATACACGCCTTTATTGCAAGTGGTGAAAAAATAATAGTCATTTTCGAAATATAAAATTAAAGCTTGTTTTTATAATTTCTTCAGGACATAATGTGATATCATATTTATATAATTACGTAAAAATGCCGAAGCAATGAGTTAAAATATGACGTCACGCGCTGGTAAAATTCAGGAAAATCAATAGACTTATTATTTCTTGGTGGTATTATGTAAGCCTATTAGGAGGACACGAAATATTCGTGAAAGGGGTATAGACAACGTTTGAGGAATGCCGAAAGCGAGGAGAACAGGGAGGTCAACCAGCAACGGAGGCTAAACAGCAAAGGAGGAAAGGAAGCAGCTCGATGAGATCCTGGCTTTAATTAGTTGAAACCGACATGCCAAAACAATCGACAGAATTAATGATGTTACAGATAAGAACGTACCCTCGTTCGGTCGCAAATGTTTCTGTCAGTTTATATCAAGTCTTCAGCAACTTCTTGCATTATATACGTATATACATTATATATTGTTTGTTCTTAAAATAGATCTGTTGCAAATAATTTCCTATTAGCAAAAATTTTGTTATTTTTAGATAGCATTTTGCTTATTAAATTTTTCGCATTTGTTTCAGCTGAGAAATATCACGACAAATACATAATCATACATATCAAATTTTATCAATATGATATTTCATAGTTAATTATTTTAATTTAATCTTCTCTCTCTCTCTCTCTCTCT